AAAATAAAGTAAATTACTAATTAGTTTAAAGTACGTAATAAATAAAATAAATATATATATATAAGAATATATGTGTATAATATATATATATATATATATATATATATATATTTATATATATATATATATATTTATATTCTTTTATTAAAATTAATTAAACAAATTATCTTAAATTTATTTAAAAAAATAATTTATAAAATTATAATAAAAAAAATATATAAATATTATTAAATAAATACAATAAAAATTATATTAATTAAATATAAAATAAGGAAAATATTACAAAAAAAAATAAAAATTATAAATAAATATTTCTATAATAATTTATTTATAACAAAAATATTTATAAATTATTTTGAAAAAAAAAAAAATGTTTAACTTTAGATAAAAGTGCTGGATTGTTCTTATTATATTTTTTTGGGTTTTATTTTTCAATGGATAAGATTTAAAAATTAATAATGCATGGATTTTCTTAGCTATAGTCTTCAAAACTGTATTAATTACAGGTTTTATTTATTTTAAAAGTTTAAATATTTACAAATAAAATTTTTTTAGATCTTATGTTTACAAGTGAAAATTAATTTATATATGAACCAGACTATAACAATTGGAAAGAAAAAGTTGAAAGAGGATAAGGATATTGACAAAAAAGCAATTTTATATATATATATATATGTAATAATTTTTAGTAAAGAAAATAAATGTTAAATTTTTTATTTTTTTAAGAAAATTATTTTTTAGAAATTCCTAATTTATTAATTTTACATATTTTTTTTGTAAAAAAAATAATATATATATATATATATATATATATATATATATATATATATTTAATTTATTTTTAATATGTTTTTAATATGTTTTTTATTCATATAATATTATTATTTATTATCTTTTTTCATTCTTATAAAAAATATAAATACATCTTTTAATTTTTTTTTATTCTTTTTTATATATATTATTTAATTTATTTTAAAGATAAAATTAGATTTTTATATTTATTCTCGTATTTTATAAATATTTTTTGTAAAAAAATATTTATTTTATTATTTATAAAAAATAAACATTTATTTTATTTTCATCAAATAAAATTTTTTAATTTCAATCCAATTTCCCATTTTTTAATAAAATAGCTGCACATATACTTTTTTTTTAAATGCAAATATATTATATATATTATATTTATTTATTTATTACTATAGAAACAGCAGTTAAAATTTCTATTAAAACAGTATAGTAATAAAAAGAATAAACACAATTAATATCACCCTATATAATAAAAAATTTCAATTATTAAAAAATAAAATAAAAATTACTTTAGTTTATTCATCAACGAAAAACTCTTCTTTTAAATTACATAAATTATAATTATTAATTAATGAATTTCTTATTGAAATATAATCAAATAAAGCTGATATTATCATTAATACAGATAAAAACATTGCCGAAACAGTATGCATATTTGAATATTCTTTATCTTCTTTTTTTAATGCTAATGCAGCTAATATAATACTTACAATTGACGATAAAATAAAACAAATCCTTATTTCTGAAATTCCTGATTACCAAGGACATGATATCTATAAATATATATAAAAAATTTAAAATAAAATATTATTTTTATATTTACTTCAGCAGTAGCATTTGCATTTTAATCAGTATGCAAACTAATTAAACCCTTTTTAATTATATTTTTTTAAAAATAAAAATAATACGTTTAAAGGACCTTATACAGTTTTGCAATTTAATTTTTTTCTTACTGCCATACAAAGTTATTTATTTTCTTTAAAAATACATTAATTTTTCACAATAAAAAACAATTTTTTTTTTTACAATGATTATCTTTTTCTAAAATGCAATTCCAAACATCAGAAATACCACTAACACTCATTACTAGTAGGATAAAAAGTGCTATCTATATATTTTTTCAAATAAATTAAAAATATTTTTAATGATAAATAGATTTGAATTTATTTGTTAAACAAATGATAATATTATTAGATTAAATGCTTTTTTTGTATTTTATTCACTTTCATATATATATCTTTTTTCTTCCCATATATTTTTCTTTTAAGTTAAATCGTCAAACATTAATTATTTGAATTTATTATTAGAATATTTATTTTAAATATATTGTATCCTTAAATATAATATAATATTATTTAAATTAATTAGTAATTAAAAAAAAAAATATATATAATAAATAAATTTTTAATTTTAAAAATAATATTAAAATTTATAAAATAAAAAATAAAATTAAATATATATGTATATGTATATGTATATATATATATATATATATATATATATATATATATATATATATATATAATTATATTAATATTTACACATTTTAAAAATAAAATATAAGCATTTAAGTTATATACTATATTATAAAATTCAATCCTCATTATCGTCTCCGAAAATTGATTTAAACAATTCTAAATCCGGTTTCGCTTTTTAATCTTATTTTTATTAAATTTCTTCTTCTAAAGCATTATCAATTTATTATAACTCTTTACTAATTTATTAATCTCTTATATTTTTTTCTTCATTAAATTTCTATCCCACATCATAAATTTGATTTTCTTATTCTTTTTTGCTTTCCTTATTATAATCTGCTTCTACATAAGTTTGTTTATTTGATTTAAATTATGTAGGAAGCCCATAATAAGAAGGATCAACATTTTAAGGTTATATAACTTAACCAAGTTTAAATTATTTTTATTATAAAAATTATTCTTTTTCTTATTATATTTTAAATTCTTTTTCTTTTTATTCAAAATATTCCCTATCTTTATATGGAGGAACTACCCCAAACCTTTTACATAATAGTTTTTCTGGAAACCAAGGTTCCACAATTCTGAAATTTTTAATTGAATCAAACTTTTCTTATAATTACTCTATTTTTTAAAGAATGTTTTTTTGTTTCTATTCTGGGTTATTTTATTTTGTTTCTTTATAATAATTTTCAAATTCTTTCTCTTCTTTTAATTTTTCTTTATAACTCATTAACTGTTTATTTATTTGAAAATATATGTATATATGTATATATTTACTTGAAATTATTCTTAAAAACCACCTACTTATTTTCCTTCATATTCCAAAACCCAATTTTCATATCTTTTTTATTTATTAATAGACCATTTTTAATTAAAATTATTTTTATTCTATTAATTTTATTATTATTTTTAATAAATTTCTTCTTATATTTATTCTGTTTCTTCATCTTTTCCTTTAATGAATTTTTTAGTTTAAATTTATTTCTTTAATTTATCTTTATAAATATATATACAATTACAATTTTATTATATTTTTAAATACCCATGCTTTACTATTCTTCAAGTAATTATCTTCTTTCTTCAGCATTTAATTTTTTGTATTTTTTAATTTATTTTTAATATTCTTTCATTTTTCCTCCGCTTTATAAATATTCCTTCATTTTTTTGTAAGGATCATAATTTTCAGGTATGTCAACTTATATTTAACTTTATAAAAAAATTTAATAAATAAAAATATATGTCTAAACAAATAAATACTTATTTTCGTCAATTAATTAAATAGTATCTTTAAAAAATTAAACTTTTTAAATTTAATTAAAATCAAGTTTAATTTATTTTATATTATTATCATTATAAATATTATTATTAACCTCTTGATCATCATCTAAAATAAATATATAAATAATATATATATATATATATATATATATATATATTTATATATATATAAATGCATTTTTATATTTATATCAATATAATTATATTTATATTGTATTTTATGTATATATTTTTTATATAATTTATTAATACAATTTATTTTTTCATTCTTTAATCATCAAAATAATCATTATCTTCATCATCTTCTTCATAATTATATTATTTTTTAAAATCAGTATAAATTCTATTTTTTTCTTTTTTATTTAATTCCATATTTTCAATTTCTTCTTAAGTCATAAATTATTTTTTCATAATTCTATTAAATTCTTCTTCAAAAATATTACTTCTTTTATTATTTGCATTATATCCAATGCCATGAAAATTTTATTTAATTTAATAATTTTCCATATCAGTAAACATATCAAATAAATCGACATTTTCTTCTTAATATTATTATAAGCTTTTATTTTTTTTCTGCTTTTAATATTTTATAATATTTCCCATCCTATAGTGTTTCTTGATTCTACAATTAATTCATTAGGTGCTAACCCTAAAATACTTTAATTAATTATTTTAATTTTTAATATAAGAAAAACTATATATACCTTTATCCTAAATTTTTTTAAATAATTTCTTTTTTTGTGTTTGAATAAGTTTCAAATTCATCTTTTGCTGTTAAATTTTATCCTATTACATGCCCTCCCTTTATATTTTATTTATTATTAATATTCTTATAACAAATCGAAATTTCTTAAAAATACTAAATCATCTTCATCCATAAAATCTTATATATTTTATGCTTAAGATTCTGCTTTTTTATTTCTAGAAGAAACAAATGTTTTTGGGGCAAATCCTTATTCAGATCCTACTGTATTATTATATCCAGCTTAAAAACCACCTTTTTATATTTTTTTATAAAATAAATTAAATATTTTTTTATTTATATTTACCTGTAAATGCGCCATGAAATCTTTTTTGCCCTTTTTCATTTACTGCCTTTTTATATATATATTTATAGATTATTTTTAGATTAATATTTATTGATTTATGCTTTTTAATTGTATTAGTGCTATCTTTTGTTTATTTCAGACTCTTCAAATCTAGTTCCTATAAGAATATGATTCATTTTTTTTATTAATTAAAATTATGATATTTAAATAGATATATATATATATAAATTAATAATTATTAACTATATAATTTTGCTTTATAAATATAATATTAAATATTTTGTTTATAAATAAATAATCTTTTAATAAATATTTTTATAATTTATAATTATTATATATAAAAATTATTTTTTATATTTTTTTAATTAAATTAAAGAAAATAAACAAATTTAATATTTAAAATACTAATATATTAATAATATTTAGATAAATTATATATTATTTTGTCTAAATTAAAATAAAATAAAAATATAATATATTTAAGAAAATTTTGAAGATTTGTACATTAAGTATGAACACGTTATGTTAGAAACAAAAATAGTAATAAATAAATTATAAATAGTATATTTTATATTATAATTTAATTAAATGTAAATTTATATTGATAAATGTTTAAAGCATCATATTTATTATTTTATTTACTTTAAGTTGTTATGTATACCTTTTAATTTTTTAACTAATTTTTTGTATAATAATTATATTCTTCGAACTAATATTTTATAACTTTACGTCACAAATAATAATGAATCATTATATCGATTTATCTCGAATATAAATATAATATATATATATATATATAATTAAATATATATAAAATATATATATATATATATATATATATTATATATATCTTATTTTTTTCTTAATAAAAAAAAATTAAAAAATATTTTTCTAATTTAAATTTAAGAAAAAAGAAAAAACTAAAAAAAATATTAAATTAATATATATAAAATAAAAAAAAAAAAACACAAAATGAAAGTAATTATATTTTTATCTCAATATATATACTTAAAAAATAAAATAAAAAAAGATCGAAGAAGTTAAATCAACAACCAAAACCTAAAGAATAGCATCTCATTCACACGTAAAAGGTCTCGGTTTAAATGAAGAAGGAACTGCCGTAGCTGTTGCTTCTGGTATGGTAGGCTAAGAAAATGCTCGAGAAGTAAAAAATAATTAATATAATTAAAAAAAAAAATAATCAAATAGGCCGCAGGTATAATATGTGATTTAATAAAAACCAAAAAAATGGCCGGAAGAGCAGTTTTATTAGCCGGACCTCCTGGAACTGGAAAAACAGCAATTGCATTAGCTTTATCAACTGAATTAGGTCCTAAAGTGCCTTTTTGTCCTATGGTGGGTTCTGAAGTATATTCTTCAGAAGTAAAAAAGACTGAAATATTAATGGAAAACTTTAGAAGAGCAATTGGATTGAAAATAAAGGAAACCAAAGAAGTTTGGGAAGGGGAAGTTACTGAATTAAAAACCGAAGAACGTGAAGAAGCTGAAGGGTTTTAAAAATTATATTATATTTTATTTTTATTTAAAAAAATAAATAAATAAATATAGATATGGAAAGATCGTATCCAGTGTAATAGTTACATTAAAGACATCTAAAGGCACTAAATAATTAAAACTCGACCCTTCTATATATGAAAATATGTAAAGAGAAAAAGTTTCCACAGGCGATGTTATTTATATCGAAGCATCTTCCGGAAATGTAAAAAGAGTAGGTAAATGTGACTCTTATGCTTCTGAGTTTGATCTCGAAGCTGAAGAATATGTTCCTTTACCTAAAGGGGATGTTCATAAAAAAAAAGAGATAGTGTAAGATATTACATTACATGATTTGGATATTGCAAATGCAAAACCTTAACATGGATAAGATTTTGTTTCATTAATGGGTTAAATAATGAAGCCTAAAAAAACCGAAATAACAGATAAATTAAGACAACAAATTAATTAAATAGTTAACAAATATATAGACTAAGGAATTGCAGAATTAGTACCTGGAGTTCTTTTTATTGATGAAGTACATATGTTAGATATTGAATGTTTCACTTTTTTAAATAGAGCATTAGAATCTAATTTAGCTCCAATTGTAATTTTAGCTACTAATAGAGGTATGTGTACTATAAGGGGAACTGACATTGTATCGCCACACGGTATTCCTGTTGATTTGTTAGATAGATTACTTATTATTAAAACTAGCTAGTATGGAATTGAAGATTTAATTAAAATTTTAGCTATTAGAGCATCAACAGAAAATATCAAATTAACAAGTGATGCGCTTTCTCATTTAGCATAAATTGGAGATAAAAGTAGCTTAAGATATGCAATTTAATTATTAAGTCCGGCTAGTGTTTTGGCTAATACTGAAGGAAGAAACGAAATTACATAGTATTTTTTTTTTTTTTGATTAATAATTTTATTAAATTATTATTTTAGAGATGACATAGAATTGATTTTTCATTGTTTTTAGATGCTAAAAATTCGGCAAAGATTTTGAATTAATAAGCAGATAAATATATTAGTTGATTTTAATTATATTTTTTTAGAAAGAAAAGAGATTCAATATTAAATATAAATAAGAAAATATTAAAAATATATATATATATATATATATATTATATATATATATAGATATTTTTAAAATAAATAAAAAAATAATTAAAAAAGTAATAACTAAATTTAAATATATATTATTAATAATAAATATTTTAAGATATAACTTATATTTTTAATTTAATTTATTATTATTAAAAATAATTTTTTATACAAATTAATATATAGTTTACATTTGTTTTTTAATTTTTTTTTTATTTTATTTTTATTTTTATTTTCATATCTATTTTTATTTTTAATTTGTATATATATTTAAATTTATATTAACTTAAATATAATATTTATTAATATTTCTTCTTTTTCTTTTCTATTTAATTATAAATAAATAATTATTATTTAAATTTATATGATTTTTTTTATTTATATCTGAAACTATCTTTAAAATTTATTAGTAGGTTATATTAATCTCAATTTATTTATTTAAAATATAATAAACAAATAATATAAATAATTTGATTTAATTTTTTGTAATAAAATTTACTTTATCAAGTTTTTTATTTAAAATAAAGATAATATATATGATTATTTATTTAATATTTAAATAAAATAAATCCAAAATTTAAAATTTTCTTTATTGATATTTATTTAATTCTATAATAAAAATTTATATAATAAAAATATATAGAGAATTTCAAATTATTTATATATAATAAAATAATTATTTATTATAATTTTTATATATTAATAAAAAAAATATTTTTTTAGAATTACTTAAAAAAATAATAAATGGACGTCGAAAATTAAGAAATATAATAACAAAATATTAATTACATTAATAACCCAAACGGATTTTAAATGCTTGAGAAAGACGAAATATATGATAATTCTTCATTATTTGAAAACCCAAATATAAAATTAAGCTTTATAAGGAAAGTTTATTCAATATTATTTTACTAGTTATTTTTAACAGCTTTAATGGTTTATGCATCTATGGTATATCCTGAATACGCAGCTTTTTAAATGTAAAATTATGTATTGTTTATATTTTAGTCATTTATCTCAGTATCGATATTAATAGCAATATTTTGTAATAATGTAAAAGATTTAAATTATATATATATATATATATATATATATATATATATATATATATATATTTTTAGGATATAGCAAGATAAGTTCCTTTAAATTATTTCTTATTATTAATATTTACATTATCTTAAGGATATATAGTTAGGTAATTTTTAAAAATATTATATAAAATACATTTAAAAAATAAAGTTTTGTTTGTTGCTTTGTGGCATATGATGAATATGGAGTTGCTTCAGAAGATGGCAAATAAATGTTAAAATAAATTAAAAATTTTTCTGCATATAAAATAATATTATATTTTTAAAAAGAGTAATTATGGCAGGATTAAATACATTAGCAATCGTTTTTTTATTGACTATTTATGCTTATTATTCAAAAACAGATTATACTGTTTGCGGTGCTACTTTATTTATGCTTGTTTCTGTTTGTTTTTTTTGTTCTTGGATTGTTTACTTTTATGATTATGAGTCTTATAATATACTAATTGTTGTTATATCAGCTATGATTTACGGGTACTATATAATTTATGACACTTAGTTAATAATGGTATTTTTTTTGTTTTCTTATATTTATTAAAAATATAAATACTTATTTTTTTATTTATTTTTTAAGAAAAATAACATTTATTGTCTTAAAATTGATGATTATATTCTTGGTACTATTATATTATATATAGATATAATACGATTATTCTTAAGAATTTTAAAACTTTTAGCTTTTACTAAAAAAAGATGAACTAAATAAATTTAATTGATATAAAAAATATATTTCTATTTAATAAAAAATAAATTATTATCATAAAAAATTAATTTAATTTAAACTATTTTTTTACAAAAAAACATATTATTTATATATTTATTTAAAAAATAAAAAGACATAAATAATCATTTAAATAACAACATATATACATTAATATATAAAAAGTAAAAATAAAAGAAATGCTATTACAAAGAATTGATATTTAAGGTTAATCCCAAATTGCAAGCGAAAACTAAGCAACTAAAAACACCAAAACGGAACAATATTTATTAAAATAAAACATATTCAAACAAAAAAACAATATAGTATAGAGCAACCACACAATATCATTAACAAAATAACAATTTTCTTTTAACCATTATAATTAAATTAAACTAATAAATTAGATTAATGTCTAATTAACAAATAAGCAATCAACTGAAGAATAAAATACAATCGAAAATATAAAAATGCCAGTTTTCAATTAATTAATTTTCCCTTAAAAATGTTCGCTTAGAAATAACAAAAATTTTTTAAAAATGTAAAAAACATAAATTGAATAGTCTTAAAAATACTAACAAAATGAAGAAAGTACTTAAGAAAACTAAACAAACTAAATAAACTCTATATTTAATATTTTTCCTTAATATTTAACTAATTTATAATATTTATAACAACAAACATAATTGAAATAAGATTAAGTAAAGTCTCTTATTGCTAAAAAATATAATATGTACGATGATTCATAGAAATAATTAAAAAGTTAAATTTTTTCATAATAAAAAATTCCTTTTTAAAGCCAAAATAGATCTGCTAGTTAAAATAAAGTAAATTTTGTTTTTTTTGTTGTTGTTTTTTTTATAAAAAAAAAAATCATATAGGCTTAAAAAAAATTAAAAATAAAAACATAATTAATACATGCAATTGCTTAAGATTCTTAAACTAAAGTAGAGATTAAAAGAAATTCTTTAAGAAATAATATTGTGACAAAATCATATATAACAAATAAAGTAATATTAAAAATGTCAGAAGATGATAAAAACAAATGTATAAGGTATTTTAGATATAATTTAGTATAACTTTTACATATATTGGGAAAAAAAGAAAATTATTTCAATTATTTGAATAATAAAAAAGAAATTAAAACTTTTTTATATTTAAATAATAAAGATGAAGTATTTTATTTATATTTTAATTTAAAAAATAAATAAAAAAAAATGATTATATATATTTTTAAAGGAAAATCAAATTAAATTTACATAAAATACATTAAATATAATTCAAAAGTTATTAAAAATAGTTAAAACAAAAGGAAAATATAAATATAGGGAAAAGTATAAATATTTATTAAAAAATAAAATAAATATTTTATAAAATTTAAAAACAGATTCAATTTTTTAAATTCAGCATAACTAAAATCTATAAACTATGATGTAAGAAAAAGACTTTCTTAAATTTAACAATAAAAAGCACTTTAATAAAACTATAAATAAAAAGAAGAATGTGAAAGTTAATCAGACGAAGAACTTAAATAAAAATAAACAAATTCATATTAATAAACAGATTTTGTAAAATGGAAAAAATAAAATAAAATAGATCCAAAAACTAAAGTATTTATTATTAAAGGAGGTTATTAAGATCTTAAAAAAGCTTTAAAAGAAAGGGATTGGGTCGAAAACACAGACTGCTTTTCTCCTTGTTTTGATTTTAAATGGACTACAAAAGTATTTATTTTTATATTTTTTGTCAATTATTATAATAGGTAAGTGATATAGATTATGATAATTTATAAGATTTTTAAATAGTAAATCATTTTGATAATAATTCTGTATTTACAAGTAAATATGGACTTTCTAGAAGTTTAAAAACTTTAATACATTCAGAAAATATGGATATTTATTAATTTTTTCCAAGATGTTTTGATTTAGGAGATTTATAAGAATTCGAAGATTTTATGGAAAATTTTAAATTTACAAAAGTAAATAATATTTGTATATTAATTAAATAATAAATATATAATATTTCTATGTTAATTAAATAAATATATAAAAATTATATATTAATATAAATATTTATTATATAAATATATGTATAAAATATATATATATATTTAATATATATTACATATATATATATAATTTATATTTATTTTTAAAATAAATATATTTTACAAAAATTTAAAAGGCAGAAAGTATGATCCATTAATTTATAGATATATTGAAAAATTCTGAAAAATTCGATGAAAATTTAGAATTAAGTGTTAGGATAGCTATAGATATAATTTAACGAAAATTCATTGATTTCTTTTAATAAATAGATTTAATATATGTAATTTAAATACTAATAAATATTTAAAAAATTATAAATAATATATAGAATTAAGATATATTGCCTTGTGTAAGTTCTGAAGAATGGGAAATTCTATGTAAATAAGAGTTTTAAATAGAACAATCGAAATAATAAGCACTATTTTAAAAATTAAGGGAAAAATAAAATGAGACTGAATAACCATTAACAAATATAAAATAAATATAAAAAAATACTATTAGATCTATGCATAAAATGCTTAAATAAACTATCTTAAATTGACCCTTAATACAATATAAATGGATATAGAAATATATGGATTGTCAAACCGAATTGTTTATTATATATATATATATATATATATATATATATATATATATTTATTTATTTATTTATATATATATATTTATATATATTTTTTTTATTCATTCAATTTAATTATATTTTCTTTCCTATAAGTTTTATCACGAGGTAGAGGAATAAAATGTTTTAACGACTTAGATAAAATATTTGATTATATAGTAGGTAAAGAAACATAATATGTAGTGTAAAAATACATAGAAAGGCCATTATTAATATCAAATAAAGTTAAATAAATATGTTATATATATATTATTTATAAAAATAATAATTAATAAGTTAAAAATATTTATAAATATAAAAGAAATTTGATTTAAGATAATGGGTAATTATATAAAATTTTTGCCCTCCTAAAATATGGTTTTTCGAAGAATGTTATTTAAGGTTTTGCTCAGTGGATCATAATATAGATGATTTAAATAATAAGTATTAATTTAATTATTGATTATTTTAAATAAATAATTATATTAATAGATTTGTACATTTGACTAATAATGTAATTTAAAGATGTAATAAAGACGGAGATATTGATAAAGATGATTTAATGTGGAGATAAGACTAATTTGCTTAATATTTAAAAGTAAAAAACACATTATTTATATTAATATATATAAAAAATAAAAGTAAACTAATAATAATTATGATGTATTTTATGAAAAAATTTAACCTAAAATGAAATAAATTGTTATAAATTCTTTAAAATCATGTAAAGACTAAGTTGGCTCTAGAAAAAATTCAATGGAATTAGTTGGATACGATTTTATGATAGATTCTAATTAGTAACCATGGTTGATTGAAATAAATAGCTCACCTTCAATGGATTATAGTACTTCGATTACTAAAGATCTTGTTTAAAGAGTTTTAACTGACACTGTAAAGGTAGTTGTTGATTATTCAATGGCTAAAAAAGGTACTAAAAAGCTTGTAGATACAGGAGGATTTAAAATTATTTATAAAGGAGAAAAAAACTCTAAATTAAATCCTAAATATACAAATAATAAAAAATGAAATAATTTCAATTTCTCATTTACTTCTTTATATTTTTTATATTTTTTTAAATAATATTCTAATATTGATTTTTTTTTAAAAAAATATGAAATTATTTCATAATTAAATAAAATATCAAAAGATTTTATGTTCTATTTTTATCAATTGAAAATTTATATAAAAAAAAGATTATATAGGATTTTATAAATAAAAAAGAAAACAAATTAATGATTTAATATTTATCTAAATTTATACAAAGTATTAATATTTAGAAATATTAAATTTGTGATATTTTCAAATATCTAGCTAAAGAGTAAAATATATTTAATGTATTAATATAGTAATTTTTTAAAAATAAAGAGATAATTTACTTAAAAATGAAATAGTTTATGAAATATTTAGGCTATTTAATATAAAAAAATGCCTTATAAAATTAAAAAATTAAAATAATAATAATAATTAAATTAGTAATTTAAAATAATTGAAAGGCTTTATAAAATACATATAATTTATTTTATTATGAATTTTAGATTTTATAATATATCCAATTAAATATTTTTGTTTTATATAGTTTATTTTATATATTATATATTTTTTAAATAAAATAATAAAGAAATTAATATTTATTTTATAATGTTAATATAACAAAATATATATATATATATATATATATATATATATATATATATATATTGAAAAGAAATATTATTAAATTAATATATATTTTCATTTTAATAAATATCTATATTTTTAAAATCATTTTTTTTATTTTTTGTGTTCTATTATTAATTTCTTTATGTCATTTAATTTCTTTTTATTTTATAATTAATAAATTATATATTATTATATATATACTTATAATTTAATTTTGCTTTCTTACTTTATCCTTTTAATATTTTCAACACTTAAAAACATTTATTAATTAGTTTTTTTGTTAATTATTTATTCCGAATAAACTGTTTTATGATTATCTTTAAGACTATAATAATTAGATTATGATTTAATATTATTTTAAGAAAATTATAAATTCTAATTCATATTTTATATTTAATCTGTTAAGCAATTAGATTATAATTCTGATGAAATTATTTTATTTTCAAATTTTAGTTTTTCATTAAAATCGTTTTTTTCCTTTAAAATTAAAAAAAAAAAAAAGATAAAATATTTTATAAAATATAAATACTTGCATATTATCAAAATTATTTTATAATGAAATTTGTAAAATATCTTATTTATCTTTTTAATTAAATTAATTTTTTTAATTAGATATATTTTCTTCTAAATTTTTAATAATTTATTATAAAGATTATATCTATTAAATATAGTTCTCTTCTTGTATTTATAATTATTAGTTTTTTTTTATAATTTATATTTCTGACTCTTATAAATTATTTTTTAAATCTAAAATTTGTCTTTAAAATGAAGTTTCGTTTATTTAATTTTACTAATTAATTTACAAAAATATCTATTATTAATCCATTTGGTTTTTTTATTAATCTAAAAGATTTTTAAATTCTTAATTTTATATTTCCAATTAAATATTTTATTATTTTAATTTATTTATTTCTTAATTTAATTTATTTATTTTTAACTATTATTCCTAGTTATTTTAAATTTAAATTAAGTTCGATTCTTTACACAATGTTTTTTATAAAATAATCTCTTGTATTTATACTTTTTCTTTTTCAATATTACTTATTTTTTCTTTTAAAATTTTTGATTTGGTTTTATATTATAAAATTTATTCTAAATATTTTTAATTTTAAATACTTAAAATTTATAATTCCTCTTTTTATTTTTCATTTTAAAAATTATTTTATTCATATTTTTTTTAATTAATAATATTTCTTTAAAAATATTATTTAATATAATAAATATTATTCTTTAATATTTTTTTATTACTTTTTATATTTCATTATTTGCGTTTACAATTTAATCAAATTTTATTAAATATAATTTTTTCATTTCTAATTATTGAATTTAATAAGTAAATTAACAATTCTTTATTTAATAACTCTATATTTCACCTTATTATAAAAAGATAGCTTTCAAACAGTTATTATTATGAAGTAATTTTAAAAAATTAACAAATTAATAATTACTAAGACAATTAATACACTAAAACAGTAGAAGTCCATAAAATATAAAATATCTTTTTCTTGTTTAAATATAAAAGAGAATGTAATTTTTAAAAA